AAAAAAAAAAAAAAAAAAAAGAAGATAAAGAAGTGAGAACTGCATCTGAAATTTGTTACCAAGTTGGAAGATAATTGAAGTAGTTTTCCAGGAATAAAGAAAAATTCTTCCCTAGACAGCATGCCTCCCTAAAATTCTGAAGCATGTTTTAAAAATATTTCAAAGGCTGTCCAAGAGTACTGAAAATTCACCCTAAACCTTAAGGTTTAATAGTGCCACTTTCCCTGCTATTGTTTCCATAATCCAGTAATCATTTCAATTCATTGGTTCATAAGTTCCCAGATCCACTAACTGGGATGCAATTTAAAATGTTTGAGTCCAGAAATGAAATATAAATTCCACAAACAAAAAGCCTTTTGAACAAAACATGGATTCTTTGACATCTCCATTTTACTTACAAGAAAAACCAACAGAATGTGAACTTATAAAGTCTGAAGGCATGGAAGTTAACCTTGATTTTTCAACTAATCCGAATAACCTAAATGTTAAACTCCCTATCAATTTTTGTGCAAGAAAATTTAATCAACTTCAGTAGATTCCACTGCATCAGCAGCGAGCCCACAAAACAAACATAGTAGGCACAAAGATAATACAATAAAATATGAAAATGATCTTCTCTCTTACCCATAAACAAGAAAACTCTATAGAGGGAACTTTTGTTCAGAATTTCTTACTTGACAGTCAATAATGGCTTCTATCCAATTCAAGCAAAATGTTGAAGTTCTCTGATACAAACATTAATCTTCATCAGACCCTTCCGAATCCAAATTTGACATTTCGTCCTCATAGCATTCATCGCCTGTTCCAACCTCGTCCTCTTCAGATTCTTCCGGCCCACTTTCACTCTCCACACTGTTAAGTAAAATCTCTTGCGGGGATAGCAAGTGCACACCTTTGCTGCGATAAAGAAGCCCTGTTCTCATGACATGATAAAACTTCTCTCTCACGCGTGTGAGGGGATGCCAGTTCACTAATTTTCCTCTCTGGTACCCTTCCCTGAGAGCAACAGTGGTTGTTTTACACTTCAATGAGAGGTAGAAAATCCCCGGATACCTTGTGAAAATTCTTGTAAATTTATGAGGAAGATTTAGTTCCTCTCTCAAGCTTCTCAAGTAGTTCCTCTTGGTCTTCTTATGAAGAGTCAAGCTCAATAACTCATGCAAAACTCCAACAACCCTTTTCTCCATAAGATCACTATTAGGATCAATATGCCTAGAATCCTCATATGGCGAAATGTATGGTAACTTCTGAAACTCCTCCATCCATACCCTAACCTTCTTCTGCCCTCCATAACCCTTCGGAAAATTCATCGGGAATGCCAACACAGTCTGCCCCCTCTTGAATTGTCTATACTCATCCCCTAAATCACCACCCTCTTTACTCCTCTGCAATTCTGACACCGCATACTCCTTGGGCCATTGTATGACCTTCAAGCAACCAATCCCATTGGAGGCCTTAATGATTCTAAAACAATCTGGGTATTTTGGAACCAACACTTTCTCAAAACCATCAGGCAAACCCAGATCCCATTTCAAAGGATACAAAGATTGGAGCGGTATAGTTTTACTTTTTGTCATCATAAGCACTCTACAAAGCCTCTCCACAGTATCACTCTCATGGGTTTGGTGTATACTCTGTTCTTGAGAGTCTAACAATAGTGCAGTGTCTGTTAACTTAAAACAGGGCAAATTGGCATAACGGGCATGTGGAAATTCTTGAAAAAGAGTAGGGTACCTGCGCATGAAGCGAAGAACTGGGACAGTTAGGCCGAGAAGCTTTTGCCAATCGGCGAAGGACTTGGCGGTAAGGAAGCCAGTTGGCGAGCGCTTGATGGCGTCTTTGAGGAGGCAAGCAGCTTTGAGATCGGTCTCGGTGTCGATGATGTGGTCTAAGCTCCGATTCTTGACCCATTTCAGGCGGACCTTGGCTATGCCGCGCCATTGGTGGTGGTGATGTAGAAGAAGCTTGGTGGGTTCAGAGGTGGCGTGGGGTTTTAGGAGAGAGAAGAGGAAAGTTTTCATTTTGTGGGTTTTATTTGGGGTTTTCCGCTATTGGTTTGAGAGTGTGAGCTCATGAAGAATTGGAATGCCCAGGAAAGTTTTCATTTTGGGGTTTCTTGGGTTTTATTCACTTTTACTCATGCTATTATTTGTGTTTACAAAAATAAATAAAAATTATAAGCATTTTTTTATATTAAAAATTCAAATGTTTTTTGAAAAAACACTTGAAAGTTATGCAGGAGAAACACCTTCGATGTGTAAATTTATCAACAAAACAACGGTAACTTTTCTTTTTCCTTCTCTTTTTTTGTTAAGACCCATTGAAATTTTTTTGTTTCCTCTAATAATAATGATGATGATGACAGTGTCAGATTCACAGAGGAACAAGCGTGGTCAATTGACCCCCGCAATGCTGGAATCCGTCATATGAGGGGAAAAAATTAACCCATGCAACATGTTTGATGAAATGCCACAACACAGACTATCGAGCGTTGCTTGCGTGCGCAGTGCGCTCCCCCTCTCCCTTCTTTTTTTTTTCTTCTTGAGCGTCAAAGCGATGTCGTTCTATTTAAGTTTTTTTCTTGCTTAGGTTTTTTTAAAATATATAAATAAACAGGGACATCAATATGTAAGTTCTAACCCAATTCACACATTCAAACTGTAAATCCCCAACTCCAACCCCTAATCCCACCCAACCTTCACCCAATTTGACGACTTCCCCACCCCAACCATCCTCTAGTAGGGGTAGACACAGTTTGGTTCGATCCGATTTTCTCCTCAAATTTGAATTGAAATCGAAACTCACACACGGTCCGATTCTGTTTTTATAGAAAGTGTCTATAAGAGCCGAATCAAATCGGACCTATGTGGTTTTGGTTTGGTTCGGCCTGATTTCTTGTTTAAAAAGATAAAAATATAAATATGTGAATAAGAGAGAAATATGATGTATAGAAAAATATGTATAATGGATCAAATAAGAGAAAAAGAGGTAGAAGAGATAAAATAAGAGAGAAATAGGTAGAAGAGAGAAAGAGGTGAAGAGATAAATAGGAAGAGAAATAGAAAGAAATAGGTGGAAAAGAGAGAAAGACGAAAGCGCAACAAGGACAGATATGGTTCACTGAAAAGAAAAAGAAATTGAGCTAGAGTAGTTATTTGGTTGGGTATAAATTGGAACTAAGACTTTTGAGTATTAATTGGGCAAAAATTATCTAGATAGTACTTTGAGTTACTAATTTTATTTGAATATTGATTAGGCTTACTAATAATTTTGGATATAAATGAATAAGTAAACTTAACATAACTGGTCCGGTCCGATTTATACCAGTTTTTTTAGATCCAAAGTAGTTTGGTTTGGTTCTTATATATATTTTTTCTTAATTAGTTGTTGTTGTTGATGTTTTATTTTGGTTAGTTTGAATAAATTATGGTTTTTTTAATAAATAAAATATGTTAGTTTGTATGCTTTAATTAGATTGTATCTTGATAAATGGGATTAGTTTTTGTGTTTGTTGTTGAGCTTTTGTTAGTTTTGATATAATTGGATTGATAAATATGATTAATATGGTGGATTGGTTGTTGATGCTTGATTGGTTATTTTTAACAATACAGTTATTTGGAAGATGTGGGTAGTTCGAAATATAGTGAGTTGCAAGAAGTCTTGGTTAATCTTCCTGAGGACTCTGGACTTCGACCTCAAATGTTGGATTCTATATGATCCTTAACATTTGAAATGAAGTTCGAAGAGCATATCTATAAAAGGGTCCTTGTCAACCTAAGGGGTTTATATTCATCATATGCATACGAGTGACGATTTTTCTCAATTGCAAGAGATTAGTAGTTTTGCAAGAAAAATGGTGGAGAAAGGGATGTATAGAACATTTAATTATGAGTATTTGTTTGTGACATTAGCCTTAACTTTACTAGTTGCAACTACTTCAATGAAGAGGGCATTTTCCACTACGAATATGGTGAAAGGTCCATTTCGCAACCAAATGGAAGATTAATGGTTAAGTGATAGCTTACTTGTTTATATTGAGAAATATATGTGTTTTGCTTGTATTGATAATGAAACTATAATGTGACGTTTTCATGATATGAAAACTCGTCGTGGACAATTATAATTTGTAATGTGGTTTTTTCTACTAATTATGAATTATAACATTATCGTTTAATTTTTATGAGAATTTTTTTTTTTCTTAATTAGTTGTTGTTGTTGATGTTTTATTTTGGTTAGTTTGAATAAATTATGGTTTTTTTTAATAAATAAAATATGTTAGTTTGTATGCTTTAATTAGATTGTATCTTGATAAATTGGATTAGTTTTTGTGTTTGTTGTTGAGCTTTTGTTAGTTTTGATATAATTGGATTGATAAATATGATTAATATGGTGGATTGGTTGTTGATGCTTGATTGGTTATTTTTAACAATACAGTTATGGAACGATACTTTAAGATAAAGTTCTCAATGAGTAGTTCAGATAATGTGTAGTTTGGAAAATGTGGATAGTTCGAAATATAGTGAGTTGCAAGAAGTCTTGGCTAATCTTCTTGAGGACTTTGGACTTCGACCTCAAATGTTGGATTCTATATGATCCTTAACATTTGAAATGAAGTTCGAAGAGCATATCTATAAAAGGGTCCTTGTCAACCTAAGGGGTTTATATTTATCATATGCATACGAGTGACGATTTTTCTCAATTGCAAGAGATTAGTAGTTTTGCAAGAAAAATGGTGGAGAAAGGGATGTATAGAACATTTAATTATGAGTATTTGTTTGTGACATTAGCCTTAACTTTACTAGTTGCAACTACTTCAATGAAGAGGGCATTTTCCACTACGAATATGGTGAAAGGTCCATTTCGCAACCAAATGGAAGATTAATGGTTAAGTGATAGCTTACTTGTTTATATTGAGAAATATATGTGTTTTGCTTGTATTGATAATAAAACTATAATGTGACGTTTTCATGATATGAAAACTCGTCGTGGACAATTGTAATTTGTAATGTGGTTTTTTCTACTAATTATGAATTATAACATTATCGTTTAATTTTTATGAGTATATTTTGTATGAATATTTTTTAACCTTTTACATGCTGACATTTGAAAATTCATGAATCCGCCACTGAATGATGGTTTATTTTTATTTTTATTATTATTTATTATTATTTTGGCCTAGATGAGCTTAAAATAAGGAAGACAATTTTCACACTTTCCATTATCCATTTGCACTCATTTCTCTTATTTCTTTCTCTGCTTCAAAAATTGAATACATACAAGAAGAAAAGCAAAGAGAGGATGTTTTAAAACAATTGCTTCCTATTCTGTAGACGTCCGTGCACTAAATTACCTCTGCCTTGATGATTAAATTGTATGATCAGATTCGATTTCTGAAAGTGCAAGTCCTCAAACATTCACATGATCTTATTTAGCATCAAATTAAGGTGAAACTTTCCTCCACTTATTTTATGGTGGGTGCAATTAGCACCACCAGTCCTCCATACAACCTTTAAGTTTGAGCCAAGAACGGGCAGGAAGGCTCCAATGATATACTCATGGGCAACTTAGGTTATATAGCTAGTTATTATAGAGGATTTGGAGGAATTCGAACTTCGGACATCTTTCAACGTTGAGACAAAAACTAATAATACATACACAGACAATTACACATTCGTGGGCCTAAATTTCCCAGCAAACTTAAGCGTAAAAACAAAACAATAAAAATAAAAATATAAAAAACAGAAAAGACTTGGGAAAATATGTTTGCCTGGACTTCCCCATGTATGCCACAGAAATGTTGTTTCCTCTCTCATGTAATCTCCATGCCCCTTAGCGCAGTTTCCTTCACCTGAATTCTTATTTGCCTTGTGCGTTCAACTTATATATACAAAAATTTGGGATATAAATTTTACTTTACTGTTCCTGTAAACCTAATCTTGTACGTACATCTGGTGGTACAAGCTGTATTATTGTCCGTCCGATAGTTACATCATATCTCAGTTAAGCCTGTATATATTGCTGATGTGATGTGATATATACCAAACCAAGTTGAATTTGCATGCGAGAGACCTAGATAGAGGCATGGGGACCTCCATGCATGGGGACCTGCAAAATTGGGAAAAGCAGGGTAATGTTTGCCCTTTTGGAGTGTTTTTTAGCAAGCACTTTTGCTCGTAGGTGGGTTCGTTTCATCTTTTTAGACTCCCACAAGTGATTCTAGTTATCCCAAAATTACACCCGAACAAGCTCTATTTCTGTAACTCAAAAAGCACTTTGAACTATTTATGCTATAAACATTGTAAAAAAAACTTGTAGACTTACAACTACCATCAATTTTTTTCGAATTTTTACCGATATCAATATTTTATCTTTTTCTTTTTAATCGAATTAAACACCTCTATTCTAAGAGCCGTTAGCTTAGAAATATATAGAGATAGCAATTAAGAACCAAAAGTCAATACTCCTGTAGTAAAACTACTTAATATCAACAACTCTCTGTCACTCTGTGTGTCCTTTTTTCTCTCCACACAGCAGAGAAGCATGCAGTTTTCCTGGTTTCTTTAATTAAGTGCATTATTAAGTCGATGGATTAAAAAAATATATGCAAGAAAGTCAGCTCAAATGAAAGAACATTAATGTCGGCAGAATGCTCTATCTAGCTAGCTATCTGTTACGCATAAAAACAAGAAAAAGGACAGTCAGCTAAGGGGGGATGTTTGCCTTTGGGTCGCGTCGCTTGTTATTTTCCTTCATGGATATGGAAAATCCAGTACCCTTTTAAATAGGTGACTAGCTTAGCTAGCTAGCTGGTTGAGGCACTGAAAATGAGAAATAGTTGTAGTGAGAGTACGTACTTTTGGTAGGCCAACAACAGGTAGGTCATAATAAGCTGGCCATGCAATGTGATTTTCTCTTTTTTCTTCATTTAGGCCCCTTGTTATGGAAATCAAAGTTTTAGGGCTGTTTGATAATCATTTTATTTTTTGTGTTAGAGTATAAAGGAAAAAGAGGGAGAATGAGAGTGGAGATGGGATTGAGATGGGAGGATAGGAGGGAGGAGTAACAAAAATGTAAACAAAAACTAAAAACCGAAATCTATTTGAAATTGTTTTCA